CCCTAAACCCTAAACCCTAAACCCTAAACCTGAAGCCTCACAATCCAAATTCCCACTTCAGTGCAGCGGCCTGCTGCTTTCTGTGGAGGGCGAAGCCCGAAGCAGCAGCAGCAGCAGCAGCAAGAGCAGCAGCAGCAGCATCGAAAAGGATAAAAGCAGCAGAAGCAGCACTAAGAACAGCAGCAGCAGCAGCAGCAAGCACCCCGGCTTCAGACACAGCGGAGGCCCTAAAAAATGCGCAGCAGCAAGGAGGAGAACCCAGCTGCAGCAGCAGCAGCAGCCGCAGCAGGCAGCTTGCCCCCAGCCCCAGCTGGGTGTCGCTGGATGACGGAGGGGCCCGATGGGGAACTTATAGATCTGCAGCAGCAGCAGCAGCAGCAGCAGCAGCAAATGCAGGAGCTGCCGGACGATGTCTCGTCTGACGATGATGCAGAAGCAGCAGCAGCAGCAGCAGCAGCAGCAGATAGTGAAAGTCCCCATAAGGAGCTGCTTCTGCACCCGCAGCTGCTGGAGAGCCGCAAGCGGTGGCTGCTGGCTTCTTGCGAAGCAGCAGGAGACACCGTCTGCGCCATTGCTGCCAACACGCAGCAGCAGCAGCAGCAGCAGCAGGAGCAGCAGCAGCAGCAGCAAAAGCTGCAGGCGCCGCCTTTTCTGGCAGTGGGGGCGTCGGATGATATGTGTCGGCTGTACGACTTGTCTGTTCTCGCCCCACCGCCTCCAGCAGCAGCAGCAGCAGCAGCAGCCGCAGCAGCAGCAGCAGCAGAGCCGGAGGAGCAGCACCTTGCTGCTGCAGTGACGCTGCGGGAAGCAGGAGACTCTGTGTCTTGTGTCTCCTTTTCTGCGGACGGTTTGCTGCTGGCCTGCGGCTCCTTCGACGGCAGCGTGCGCGTCTACAGCACCCCCGCAGCAGCAGCAGCAGCAGCAGCAGCAGCGGGGAAGGGGGCCCTGCTGCAGGAGCTGAGGGGCCCCTGCGAAGGAATTGCTGCTGTTGCTTTTCACCCCAAAGGCTACGCGCTGCTGGCAGCTTCTGAAGACAGAACAGCTTGGGTGTGGCTGCTGCCTCCTTCCTGGGGCACTGCAGCAGCAGCAGCAGCAGCAGCAGCAGGGGGTGCAGCAGCAGCAGCAGCGGGGGGCCCGCCGGCGGGGGTGAAGCCGGCAGTGACGCTGGCGGTGTTTGCTGCTCCTGCGCCTTTGACTTGCTGCTGCTTCAGCAGCAGCAGCAGCAACTGCGTGGTGGCTGGGGTTTCGGGGACTGTCTCCGTGTTTGCTGCTAAGGACGGCGCTGCTGCTGCTGCTTTCCAGCACCCAGCAGCAGCAGCACAGCCGCAGGGCCCCGCCCCCCGCAGCAGCAGCAGCAGCAGCAGCAGCGGGGAAGGGGGCCCTGCTGCAGGAGCTGAGGGGCCCCTGCGAAGGAATTGCTGCTGTTGCTTTTCACCCCAAAGGCTACGCGCTGCTGGCAGCTTCTGAAGACAGAACAGCTTGGGTGTGGCTGCTGCCTCCTTCCTGGGGCACTGCAGCAGCAGCAGCAGCAGCAGCAGC